GACCGCCCATGTAAGTCCTTCCCTTTTCAAAAACTCCAGGACAGATGAATCTAGACAATATTCCCACAGTCTGTGGCATTGACTGATAGGCATCTTTGTAAATATTCAGTTGGTAGCTGATCTTCAGTATTGGAGGAGGGACATGGTGGAAGGTGACTGGATCATGGGGACAGATTTGCAACTTGCTGTTCTAGTGATAGTGGCTGAGTTCTAACGAGATCTGATTGAAAAGTGTGTAGCAATTTCCCCTCACTCTCTCACCCTCTGTCCTGCCACCATGTGTAGATGTGCTTGTTTCTCCTTAGCTCTTCCACCATGATTTTAAGTTCACTAAGGCCTCCCCAGCCATGTCTCCCATACAACATGTAGAACCGTGAGTCAATTAAGCCTCTTTTCTTTCTACATTCCCCTGTCATAGGTAGTTCTTTATAGCAGTGTAAGAAGAGATTAATGCAGTATTTAACTCTTTCTTTCCTCAAATATCAAAGTTCAGATTCTGTAGGCCTCTAGACACATTCTATAGCAGCGTAGCTGCAAAATGAGCAGGAAAGTTAGGGAAGGCAAACCTGAGGTAAAACTGTGCAGAGGTAAACCTTCTGAAGGCTCAGGTTTACTTCTACACAGGTGTTTTCTGTAGGACAGCACCAAATGGACATCTCAGTTACAGAAAGTTAACTTTCCAAGGTCAGCCTAAGTCTGGTTTATTGACTCAATTATCACACTATGAACATATTTAACTTAAATTAGGTGTATTCAGGAATGAGCGGGCTTGGATGTAGATGCCAATCACCTCACAGTTAATGATGAATTGAATTGAAGGGTTTTGATGTCTCAGACGACATTTTTATCATCATTTTTCTCTTTTTGTTTTGTTGATAGCTGCTACAATAGCACTGATAACCTTGCTGGTTATCTCCTTATGTTAGGCAGTGAACTTCCTGGCAATAAGCAGAGTCACTGCGATGTATTCTTTTTAACAGAATTGCAATTAAGTGGTATAATAGGATATGCCTCTAGATATTTTTCTGTTATAAGTTTTATACATTATTTTAATAGATAACCTGTTTTGATTGGAGAGCATCTGCTTAAAATTATATTACTGCTATAGATACCTGTCTAATTAGGAGGAATCTTTGTGATATGTTTGTGTTTATATTGATAGCACCATTTAAACTTTATACTGTAGACAAGGAAACAATGTCCATTGTTGCTCAAAATGAATCTGAACATGGAGTAAAATTTTCCAACTCGCATTCAGGCAATGTATATTTCTCAAAACCACTATCATGATAAATAGTTTCTATTTTGAATTAATTTCCATGTTTTAAAAGAGTTAATGATGTTAACCATTTTGCTGATTCATTCCACGAAAATAAAAACTCTTAAAAAAGGCATTATTTTTATTAGGGTTGCGTATACATATGTGTGTGTGTGTGTGTGTGTGTGTGTGTGTGCGTGTGAATGTGTTTATTTTAATAAAACTATTTTGTAATTCACTTAATGGTCTTTAGCTTGAATTTTCAAAAGGTATGACTGTTAGCAAATTGATAGGAAAGTAGGTAACAATGAATTAAAGGTTACTGGCAGCCTAAGACACTGTTTATCTCTTTTAAGGTAGACAGAATTCAAATTGCCTTCATTAGCTGAGCAATATGCTGTGGAAAATGTGCTGGGTACTTATCAAGAGGCTCTTTCATTTGCATTTTTGCTAAATAAACAAGCTGCTCTGTTTCTTAGCTGCTCAAGAGCTGTGAATAGAAGAGAAAGAAAATAATTCAGGTAAGTAAGCCAGGGGCATTCCAGGACTAGATTAAAGAAAAGAAAAAGTTTATCAATGAAGACGTCAGAATTGTGCCATGTGTATTTGTGATACAAAAAGACAGTCTCACACATAGTTAGAATCGAGGATGTACAAATGAATTAATTCTCCCCACATCCACTGGTACCACAAGCAAAGATAGAGGCTGTTCTTTTGATATATGATCAATACTTCAGCCTGACACTACTCTTGCTGCCTTGCTGTTGCTGGTTAAAAGTTTGAATTTCAATTAAGCAGTAAATCTTTATGGCATCACATCTCCAACAGTCAATTATTGTCTCCCTAATCTCTTGAAATTCTGAAACACTTATTTTGCAGAATCCTTTCCTTTAGGCTCATTCACCAGCAAAATGTTTTTGTTAGACAGGTAAAGACACAGTTTTCTCCAAATAAAAACTCAAATATTAATTAATTGTTTTGTTTAGATTTTTTGGTCATTTGCCTATGTGTAAAGAATGTTACACTTCTAGAGTACGTTAAGACGCACACTTAACATACTCTGGAAGCAGACTGATGAATACTCTCAGGCAAAAGTGCATTGACTTGATTATATACCTTTAGCCCATGTTACATTTCAAAATTTTCCCAACATACACATTCCTTGGAAAAATTCCTAAATCATGCAAAACACATAAGCATTCTAAGCATGGATCACACTCAAATCTGTGTAAATATTATCATCTCTTGTCGTAAAATCTCCCTGTAGATTTTTTTTCCCAAACATTTTCTTTATTTTCAGAGTGTTGGTTGATGCCTACAAACCAGATAATACTGTAATTCCAGCTACTCAGAAGGCTAAGGCAGGAGGATTGTTTTATCGTGGAGGATGTCAATATTTTAAGACAAAATACAGAGAACTTGATAGACATTTCTTTCATTTAGGGTTTTAATAATTTTAAATTTAAGAGGTCACAAAGTTAAATTAGCACATCTTCAAAACTATAGATTTATAATTGTTTTAATAATTAGATCCACTATTGCAATAAAAAACAATATTATCTTTTCAGAATATCAAAAGAAAATGTTTTCACTGAAAGTAAATGCAGCCTGTGTCAGTAAAATTCTACAATTATAATTGCTATTCTTCTCAGTCATTTAGAATAATTTTCAAATTAACTTGAAGAAGTCTGAACTACTTAACTAGAATACTTGTGTGATTTTGAAAAAATAAAACAAACATTTTATTTTAAATTATTTATATGTCAAACTGGTAATCCCCAACAACCATGTTCCAGATATTTTATTATTAGATGCTTAGGTATAGAGTAGGTTAAACATGCCTGCTTAAAAACACCTCTAATGCATACAGACCAGCATGAAAAACCACATAGTAAAAACAAGTCTATACATTTTTGAACTAGTAATTAGCCAGCATGTAAACATAAGTCTGTCTGACTTTTAAGTTTTTGGCTCTTCATTCTTTGATACTAAAATCTCCCCTAGTCTTCAAACCAGTTCTTAAAAATGTAATAATTTCATATTACAGCATGTACAACTATTAACAATCATTTGAAAAAATCATTACTACATATTTTATTTTGGAAAACATGAACAGTTATTATAATTTTCTTTCAAATTGATATGGTTTTAAATTTAACTCAACCTAATTTATCCTACCCAAAACATGAGAGAACCCTGGGTATCTTAAAACTGCAAGGCTATTAATTACACTAATCCAGCTAACTGAACCTTCTTATGAACAAGCAAAGCTTAATACCATGACTAGGGTCAACTCATCAAGGTGAAATTAAGAGTTTTATTATGTGATTTGCTGTCATTAAAGCAATATACACTTTAGTTGAACAACATTCTACAATCATGAAGAAGAAAAAATAAGGCTTGACAATAAAAATTGGAGATATGGCTATATAGAAATCTTATAATTCTATGATCCTGTAACTGTGAATTTCCTAAAACACATAACTGAAATGTGCATTGCTGACTATGAAGAAATACATGCGTCTTATATTAAGTAATTACTCTCACATAAATTATTGAGGTTTCTGATTTGTACATTATTTTTGCATATCAGAATAAATGTAAGGATTAGAAAACTGATGTACATGTTGGGATAGAGTTGGAAAAATTGATTGTTGGTAAAAATGAAATGAAAAGATGTAATGAAAGTAAATGTAAAAGATGTAATATAAAATATGTAAAAGATGTAATGAAAATATAATAAATCATGTAGTGTCATCAGATTGGAAGACCAATGAAATGGATGAGAGACAAAAGAGAAGGAGCAAAAATTTACATGTATATACATATATTTTCTTAATTTTATTTATTTTTAAAAACAGATGGAAGTCTGTTTAAAAAACAGAAACAGGCTGGTCTTGAATTCCTGGGTTCAAGGGATAATCCCGCCTTGGCCTCCTAGTGTTGGGATTACAGGAGTGAGCCACTGTGCCCAGCCCACAAAAATTATAGACTAGAAAGGTCATAATAGATTAGAAAACAGGGTGAGCACGGTGGCTCACGCATGTAATTCCAAGAATTTGGGAGGCTGAGGCAGGTGGATCGCCTGAGGTTAGGAGTTCAAGACCAGCCTGACTAACATGGTGAAACCCCGTTTCTACTAAAAATACAAAAATTAGCTTGGTGTGGTGCAGCCACCTGTAATCCCAGCTACTCAGGAGGCTGAGACAGGAGAATCACTTGAAACCAGGAGGCAGAGTTGCAGTGAGCGAAGATCTCACCACTGCATTCCAGCCTGGGTGACGAAAGTGAAACTCCATCTCGAAGAAGAAGAAAAAAAAAAAGAGTAGAAAATAATGTAGAGAAAATATAGTAGAAACCAGACTACAGATGCTAATCAGGATTAAATTACAAGTAGAAACACTGACATAAGGTGTAAACAAACAGCAGAATTTTCTTAATACATATTTCATGACTTAAAACTGACTATAAAATCTTTTAAGAAATCACATTGTGAAGAAAACAAAATTTATGACATAGCATAAGGTTCTAATCTTTAATAAAAAGAACACATATATAACTATATCATCTAATGACCCACACAAATTCTTATCCTAAAATGCTATGAGAAGGCTTACATATTGCTTTGTAATTTTAAAAGTAAATTTAGGATCTATACCTTAAGTTTGTAAATTGTTAAATGTCTTGAGTATTCTGAAATAATAATAGGAATATTCATACTGCAAAACAAACATGTACTTACCATCATGATTAGGATTTCCTAGCGTCCATGGCTCATCTGAGTCAAAGTGGGTATCTCCACCAATTCCTGGTCCAGGGAAGTAGGCATGTGCCAAAAATCCTCCCTCTCCATCAAAGGGAGAACTGTCCCCATGGAAACCAGATGCAAAAATAATGGTTATATCCACATCTCGTTTGCCATTTTCTAATTCACTGTAGGGAACTTCTTCAAATGTCAGAGGAGTTACATTCTGCCACACATCAAAGGCACGGCGAATAGCTTTACGAGTCTCAGGGTCTCCTACTTTTGGAGTTACGTTCTTTATACTGAAAGTCAGAAAATATAATAATCAGTATTGTTATGTGTAAGCTAACTTATTACAGGTTTTGATTGATTCAGTTAAATAAAATATTAGAGAAAACAGTCATATTAAATAGGAATAACATGTATTCATTCCTTTTGTCTCTATAGCTAGATTGTGCTACATTGTAATCATTTATTTTTCAGCAGGATAGTATTCATGTACCAAAGTTTTAAATGAAAAGATATCTGTAGAATGGTTAACAGTAGGGTAACTGAATCAATCAGTCACTTTACCTTCTGGATGAGAAAGAAAAAGGCAGATTTGCAAAATGATCAAAGAGGTGCAACAGTTTTGAGCTGAAATACAAATTTCAATTTTTTCTAGTTATAATTTTTAGAGACACACCATTGTATCTATATACATCAATTTCAAACAATGCATTTATGCTCTTCTTGATCTATAAATACCAATTCAGCATATAGCTACTTCTTAATTTTTAAAGAAATGATCAAATACTGACAATTTCTGATATTCTATTGTTTCTCATTAATTAATTCTGGTTAAAAATGTACTGTGAGTAAACAGCTATTTAATACAAAGATTTAACAATTGCATGGATTTAAAGAAGTAACTTGGACATTATGTACTTTAGTTTGTCTCGATGCTAATAACAAATGGATTAAATAACTATAAATATTGTCCTTGATTCATTTAGCACTAATCAGATGGTTTTTTTCCTCAGTGTTTTCTCTAAACAACAAAAATGGATCTAGCATGTATATATTTTTTTATATTATAGCACTATAAATTCAAACCATTAATGTAAAAAGCAATGGATACATTTCATAGGAGTCATAAATAAGTTTCAGATCCATTCAATCAATAATAAACTTACACTAATGAAATATTTTTGACTCTTTTTTTCTTTTTTAGAGATAGGATCTCATTGTGTTGCCCTGGCTGGCCTTGAACTCTTGCACTCAAGCAACCCTCCTACCTTAGCCTTTCAAAGAGTTGGGATAAAGGAAGTAATCACCATGCTCAGCTAATAAATAAGATATTTAATTAGAAAAAAGAGGATGCCATATTCAGGTGATATATACTAAAATGTAATCATAAAAGAGAACTGAAAGTGATGGTTAAATTATGGCATCTCTAATGCATGTCATTGTATACATAGACTTCAAAATTTTTTGCCCTTTTAAGACTTTTTATCAGCATGGAGAAACTTGTAGGATTAATATGCATATTATATTTTTAACCTGATTATATGTCAATACAATTACAAATATTAGGTAGGAATTACATAAACTAATAATGGTATTAATTGAGCATTTACTATGAGCCAGAGGAGCACTTCATAATATCTTATGTAACCTCCTTAGTAACCCAATGAGATGAGTATTTGTACCTATTTTACCAAAAGCACTGTGGAGATTTATAAGAATTTAGAGCAAAACCTCTAAGTGGCAGGGCTGGGTTTTCAATCCAAACATTTGGGCTAAAAAATCTATTGTCTTAAACACTACATTAGACCGCACATCTAAGACAAAGTTATCACTATTTTCTAATAATTATCTAGATCATATTTACATTGATTATTTGGTGGTAAATATTATTCCTTGCATACAAAGGAAATAAGGTAATAAACCAAGTGGAAATAGAGTGCAAGCAAGGAGGAAGAAATGGCAAGTGAAAGGCATTGAAGTGACGATATTCTTGTCAGGTTCAAAGAACAGCAAGGCAGCTGGTATACTTTGGTCACAGGGAGACAGCAGGTGTCAGGACGTGAGGTCAGAAAGTTAGAACGAGACCAAATAAGGTAGGCCCCTGTAGGCCACTCTAAAGAGTTTGGATTTTGCTCTGAGAAGGAAAAAACTGGAGCATCATGAACAGAGATGTGACCTTTGACTTATAATTTAATAAATGACTTGAGCCATTATGTGGAAAATATATTAATGTGGGGCAAGAGTTGAAGCAGGGAGACACATCAGGAACTATTGCAAAAATCCAGGTGAGAGATGATGGTGCTTTGGACCAGGTTGGTAACAGTAGAGATTTTGAGAAGTAGCCATATTTTGGATACATTTTGAGGATAAATCTCCCAAGATATACTGATGGATTAGACATAGGCTATGAAGGAAAAAGTAAGAGCTGAGGAAGACAGCATTTCTTTTTTTGACCCGAGGCAAAGGATGGACAGAGCAAAAGAATTCATGCCTGTTCAGGGAGAACGCTATGCAATATTTTGTTGTTGTTTTGTTTGTTTGCTTTAACTTTGTCATATTCAGCATGGTGCCATAAGCTATTGTTTGAGGAAGAATAAACATCTACACTGAGATAGCACAGATATTTGTCTAGCTTGCTAGTCTCTAAATTTCCTAATGGCTAAAGAAACATGCAAAGTAATGTAACACTGAATTTGGTCTAAATTAATTTTCCTAGTAGTCTTCTATTTTCTATGCACCCTATGGGATTTCAGAAGTCCCTCAGTTGGCTGATATTCCTATGACATAACTGAAAGATCTTACTACGTAATTGGCACTGCTCCAGGTGCCAGAGATAACAGCTGTGAGCAAGACTCCATTCCCATAGTGCTTATACATTCTAGGGATGAGATAAATAATAAACAGAACAAAAATAATTACAGAGGAGATGATAAACAGGATTTCAATGGCAGAACGAGTCAAAGATGCCTAGCACTGACTTTCCAGCAAGAGGGAATGGTAAGGAGACCAAACAAATGTGGCCAGTTCAGAGAACTGCACTGCTCAGTGAGTTGGATCAATAACGGAGATCACTGTGTCTGATGGAAAATGGATGAGGGGACAAAAATGGGAGCAATCAAGCATTTCAAAGTTCACGTAAGAGAAGGCAGAGAATAGGACTTTTGTGATAGCTATGGAGATACGAAGGATTAGTTTCAGTATATGTTCTGAGAGAATTGTTCATGGGGATTGGTGATGGATTTGACATGTAATGGAGAAATTGATTTTGATTTCAAATATAGAATACTCATAATAGAGAAATGAAATCATATGAGTATGATTTGTTTGTAAATATATAATAGTTTTGAGAAAAATGAAGCAAAATAATATAATAAAAAGTAATAAATGTGGAGTATTTGAATTCGAGAAGACACCACTGTGTTTTACAAAGCTATGTGCTGATTAGCTTCCAGATAAGCTTAACTACATTGGATATGATTGTCATTAATAAATACAAGACACCTGTACACCAAACTCTCATGACATGAGCTTACCTATAGAGCGAACCTGTACATATACCCCTGAACATAATAGAAAAAAAATACACAAAAGAGAGAAAAAGGTTATGAATGCTGATGACACTGAGCCCAGGTTGAACTGGGAAGCCAATGCCCAGTTTCATATTCAAAGGGTGAAAATAAAAAGGATTAGTAAGGCTGAATATGTGAGCTGAAAGGAAAGAGTATTTTCAACAATAAATCAGTATAAATAGAAGTTGACATCTTATATTTATCTTCTGGAGGCCCACTTAATTGTGGATTTTGGATATTATGGAAGAATAAAGATAGCTGGTTAAATGAAATATAAAATTCTAAATGAAAAAATAGAAAAAACAATTATAGATATTATTTCATTTTTAATAGGCTTTGCTATGGAAAGTTAAAAGGACTGTTCAAATGGAAATAAGTACTCAGTGGTCTTACTTGAATTACACAAAGATGGAAAATTCAACAAAATTACTTCAGGAAGAAAAAATACTTATTGTTCCTATTTAAATATATATGATGAATTTCAATGACATGATGCATTTTGGTTTTTAGTTAGTTTGTTTCGTTTTTTGAGATAGAGTCTTATTTTGTCACCCAGCTGGAGTGTAGTAGAACAATCTAATCTCACCGCAACCTTTACCTCCTGGGTTCAAGCAATTCTCCTGCCTCAGCCTCTCAAATAGCTAAGATTACAGGTGCCCACCAGTATGGCCTGTGAATTTTTGTATTTTTAGTAGAGAAGAGGTTTCACCATGTTGGCCAGGCTGATCTTGAATTCCTGACCTCAGGTCTCCTCGGCCTCCAAGTGAGCCACTGTGCCTGGCCATATGATGCATTTTTAATTGTGTTCTTAATGATTTGGTAATGTTGAATTAGCAATATAAATGATGTAAAAAAAAAAGTAACCTCTCATTGCTTTTTTATGAAAATCCAGAAAACAGTATAGTTAAAATTTCCAATTTAGATGGTTAAAATTACTACCTTTATATAATACATACAATGTAGTGGTAATTTAATGAGGTCTGACAATAACATTCTGTGCAGTAAAAAATAAATAAATACAAATATATAAGTATGCTTCAAAGTTAGAGCTAGAGTTCTGAACTAGGTGAACTTGTTTTCCGAAACAAGAGTTCAGAAACTTATATGCCATTCAGAGATGTATTCTGTATTTATTCATAACTGAAATAACAAAGGTCACAGAGCAATCATGAGGTAGCAAGAATATGATTGCTACTAATAATTCTAATTAAAATGTACAAATGATTAAATATATTTGCAGAATAAAAGATGCTGACTATAAATGAGTAAAAGTTTGAAAAACATAATAAAGCCAATTTAATTTTAAAATACTTTTACTTGCCCTTTCTTTTTGTGAAAGAGTAAAGTGAGTACATATCTTATTATTTTTTTTCCCCATTTATTTATTTTATTGCATTTTAGGTTTTGGGGTACATGTGAAGAACATGCAAAATTGTTGCATAGGTACACACGTGGCAGTGTGATTTGCTGCCTTCCTCCCCATCACCTACATCTGGCATTTCTCCTCTTGCTATCTCTCCCCAGCTCCCCACCCCCCACCGTCCCTCCCCTATTTCCCCCCAACTGACCCCAGTGTGTAGTGCTCCCCTCCCTGTGTCCATGTGTTCTCATTGTTCAACACTCGCCTATGAGTGAGAACATGCACTGTTTGATCTTCTGCTCTTCTGTCAGTTTGCTGAGAATGATGGTTTCCAGGTTCATCCATGTCCCTACAAAGGACCCAA